CACATATCTGCGATTCCTTAGGCAATAATAATACAGGACTGGTTGGTCCTGGTTTTTTGGTTTTTTGGTGTTTTTTTTTTTTGAGATTCTTTTAAAACTTTCCAGCTAGCCAATGTCCTTGGAATTCTCTGGTGGTCTCTGATTCAGACACTAACCAGGTCTGACTAAGCCAAATGCTACCCTCTGCTGAGCCTCTCCCATAACTAAGCCTTGATAAAATTAGTTCCAAGCAGCCTTCCTAAACAATGGAAATGATAATTTAAGCTTTTTTCAAAGGACAACAAAAATAGCCAAAAGTTGGTTTCATACCACACAGTAAGCAATAATGTGGTTTGTTTGTGTTGTTTCATATGGTATGAACCCCACCAGTTACTGTTTATTCAATCAACTACTGATTATCATACTATGGTATTGTGCAGGGTAAACACAACCAAAGTTGGGAATTGCTGCCTCGTGGCACTCAGAAAGGTCACGGAGCGAGAGCAGATGAGGCAACAGCATCAGGATTTTCCTGAGAAGGAAAAAAATATGTTTGCTTGTGAAGCACTTGGAGATAAAGTCTGAAGCTCTGCAAATGCTGTGCCTCTGATTGTTGCAAGGATAAGAATAACCACACCTGCAGTTTTGCTTCACATCTTCCATAGGAAGAATCTTCCTTTTACATGGGATAGTGGTTAGCATATGCAGCGTTGTTCCGATCAGGAATGGATAAGAAATTCTTCCCATCCAAATTTGTATATGAACACACACACACACACACACACACACACACACACACACAGTTCCCAGATTTGCAACTGGAATGATGTGCACAACTTTTGTTATTTGAATTTTGACATGTAGGTCATAATGATGACAAATGAAAGAAGATTTTGCTTCATTAACTCCGTGTCAACTCTTAGCAACCACATGATAAGCTTTCTTCAAGATCAAGACTGAGTTCTCTGGAGAAGTTTCTAATGCTGGGAAAGTAGATGACTAGCAGCAGGATGGATGGACTCAGTTACAGTGGTGATTAAATGCACTGTTGGAAAACCTGAATGACCGGTTAAGGATAGATTGTCATGGAGAAAATCTATATGGTTGCTAAGAGTTGACATCGTCTTCATGGCACCTAAGCAATCAACCAATCAATGGGAACAAGAAAGAAAAGAGTTTCTCAAGCTCTTTTGCACAAACAATATTTTGCACAGTAATTGTGGCTTTCTTATGGTCCTTTAATATGGCTTTCCTCAAATTGTACTTTTGCTACACAACTGTATTCTGAGTACATACTGCAGTTGTATGGGAAAATGCAGCACTTCCAGCATTGTTGCCTTTCCATGTGGAGGGTTAAATTGTTTAAATATACTGGGCAATGTTTGTGACATTCCCAACATCCCTTTGTAAATCTTTTTTTTAATTTTTTGCTGCACTATTTAAAATGCTTTCCTGGCAATGTAAAAATCCCTGCTGTGCTGGAATGTTCATACTTCGAAGAGCAGTGGGCCTAATTTCCCACCCCCCTCCCTTCCTTAAGACTATCTGTTCTGACCAGTGATGGGATTCAAATAATGTAACAACCGGTTCTCTGCCCTAATGACCGGCTGGGTGGTCATGTGACTGGGTGGGCTTGGCCAACTTGATTGGTCTCACCCTTAGGGAATTTCTCCTTAGTCCAACTCGCAATAAAATAGCACAATAAAATAGCACCATTCCAATATTTAGAATAGAATGGAATGGAATGGAATAGAATAACAGAGTTGGAAGGGACCTTCTGCTTATGCAGGAAACCATACACCACTTCAGACAAATGGTTATCCAATGTCTTCTTTAAAACTTCCAGTGTTGGAGCATTTACAACTTCTGGAGACAAGTTGTTCCAATGATTTCTGTGAGGGGGTCAATCTATTTTCCAAAGCACCAAAAGGCATGACAAGAAACAATGGATGGAAACTAACCAAAGAGAGAAGCAACCTAGGACTATGAAAAAATTTCCCAAGGGGGAGACCAATCAACCAATGGAATAGCTTGCCTTCAGAAGTTGTGGGTGCTCCATCACACACAAGCAACACAGTTACAAAATAATTTGAAATGTTTACAGTCTAATTACTGTAAGCTCTCTCTTAAATTCTGAAAATGCAGGATCGAGATACATAAACATAGAAACAGCACTGCAATCCTATTCCAAATTAATAAAACCAATTATGCTAATTATAACGTGTATTTAAAAAGACATAAGAACTCTGACAAGAAACTCCTGCTCTGTATTAACATTTTTAAAACTCCTTCCCTGGCCTAATCCCATCAAGAACAAGGAGAGATTCAACATGGAAATAAGGAGAAATTTTCTGACAGTGAGAACAATCAACCAATGGAACAGCTTGCCTTTGAAAGTTGTGGGAGCTTCATCACTGGAGGCTTTCACGAAGAGATTGGACTGCCATTTATTAGAAATAGTGTAGGGTTTCCTGCTTGGGCAGGGGGTTAGACTAGATGACCTACAAGGTCCCTTCCAACTCTGTTAATCTGTATGTAAGTTTGTATTGTTTCTATGCTGACTGCATTCCTGCGGTTTAGTTATTGCAACTAAGTATTTGCCTGTTAAATGGTTCTTGGTTGTCTGCCCAGAGCTATTAACTGAAGGGAGAGAGAAGAAACCCCCCCTCTCTTTCACTTTATTCCCCCCCCTAGTTTTAAAGGGGCTAGAATTTTTCTGCTGAGGAAATGGCTGTGTGGTTATTTCTTTTTTTTCTTTTCCCTTCCTTTGGTTAATTACAAACGAGCAGGAATATCTGAGGTGTGTGTGAGCTACTGGAATTGTTAGGCAGGCAGGCAGCCTTGACTATTCAGCCGGTTCGCAGAACTCCACAAAGAATTAACAAACGGTTCTCTCGAACCAGTGCGAACTGGCTGAATCCCACCACTGGTTGTGACATTTCATAAGGCCATTCTTGAATTTGATGCCCATGTTTTGTTTTGTTTTTACCATCTTGGTGTCCTCTAAATATGTTCAAACCAAGGGAAGTAGTGAATTGATGGACAGGGACAAATGCCACTCTTGCTGCTGGTTCAAAAGACAGAGCAAAGATGGATGAATGTAATCCTGTGCCACATTACTTAATGCGGCTGCTACACCTTCTACATCAGCACTGGATGAGAAAACAGTGTGGTAGAAATGTGGAAGACCATTGTTTATTCCGAGGAGCTATTGACATATTTTGATTTCTCTTTCCTATTCTCCCTTCCTCCTTCTTCTTCCTATTAAGAAAAGTCTAGGAGTTTAGAACTCATTCTGAATGGACCTATTGGTTTTTTACTTTTGTTTACTGAATAAAAGAGAAAGGGGTAGACGTTGGGGGTCAGATAGCTGTAGTCTATGAAAAATCTCAGACTTTCGGTTCCCATCCTCAGAGTCATGTGTCATCTGGTCAAGATCAGGTTATATAGTCTCATGACCATAGCAGGGCCATGAAGTCATGATGCCAGGTTTCGATAAAAAAACTTGTTGTTGTTTGTCGGAAGCTTCTGCACAAAACCCAGCTTTGGGTACTATGGAAATTGGCCGCCCTTAAGGTATCTCTGCTGTCTTTATTAAGGAGCTCTTGGCAGCTTGTAAGAGATTTGAGTATTGCCTTGCTTGGTATGTATGCCTTTTACATGATGCTTTTAAATCTGTTTGCTTGAATTAATAATAAAGTTTCTTTATTCGCTGGTGTGCTCATTGCCTCTGGAGCCAAAAGAACCAATTGCTGGGCACCTGATCACTGCCCTGACACTTGGCAAAGCAAGCAGTAGCTGAGTTTGTTGTTGGATGGAGCTGCTGGCACTTGTCAGCAAGATTTCTACATTGCTGGATAATGGAGGAATGGGATATCCAGGCGGATATTAAGGCAGACTTATGTACATGATCTGCATTCAGAAGAAGTTTTTTTGTGTAATGTAGATTAATTTACCTAATTTAAACAAACATAAACTATGTAGAATTTATCAGAGGATCACGGCTGCTACTATAAAAGGCTAAACCAGTTAATAAATGATTCAATTTCTCAGCACTCAAGGCAGCTCTAATCCCACTGTGGCAATCTGAGATAACTTGATTCAGAGTCTGTTTCAACTACAAACCACAAAATAGGTTTGTGAGTATTAATACTTCAATATCAAAGTCTTTAAAATGCAAACAACAATTTACTTCATCAGGTTGCTAAAGAGAGGAAGAAGGCAGAAAATTTGAAATGGAAGTATGTGTTAAGTTATGAAATACATGGTATGAACTAATAATCAGACAGAAAGCAGAACGAGTGGTGGTCAGATTCATAACTGAACTGTTTGTGTTGTTGTGTAAGTAATATAGTATTCTCTGTTGGAAAAAATAGAGGTGACTTATCTCTGCAAAACTCTTCCCTACCTACAAATGCAAAAACACCGGATTAAAGATTGAGTAATGTTGTCAGGTGAAGGATCTAGAATAGCATTGCTTGGAAATCTGTGTGGTGGTTTACAGAACAAGGCTTTCCAAATAAGGCTACTTCTGTGATACATTTTCAAGCACTGTTAGTTGTGTCCAAAATTCTCTTCCACCCAGTCCCTTCCTGAGCAACCAATGTTTCCCTATTTTAAAAAAATAATAGATGAATGTCCCAGTTACTATAAATAAATCAATATGGGATTCTGTGGCTTCTTCTTTCACTATGGAGGTATCATGTCGTCATGTTTTCAAAAGGGCTACAAGAGTATCTGACATTCCCTATGCTCAGCTTTCTAAAAATACTCCATTCTCTGGCCAAGGATTAAAGTGATTTTGCAAAGCAATTGCCCAGAATATATTTTTAATCCTTACAATGAAACTTGACAGCCTACGGAGCTTCCGTAGCAGCTTCTGATTTTGGTAACGCTCCCATCATGGACTAAGGACAGAATTGAGGCTGGGATGTGAATGGGGAACAATTTGGAGCAACAACAATATCACATATAAAAGAACAGAGAGATGTGAAAAATAAGAGATCCCATAAATACTTTACCTTTGAAATATAACCCCCAGAAGACTCATTGGAAGTTGCAATTGGTTAAGGGTGGTCTATAAATGTAAAAAGTAAAAAATATTTAACTTACACAGTAAAAATCACAAGCATTTTTAAGAACAAGCATGTTTTGAACACAAATTCCGTACTGAATTGCCTGTGACATGGCGTTGGTGCAAACCTTTTCTGAAAGGTTTGTCAACTATGTTGTAACTCAAGGTTGGCTGGTCTATCAAAAAAAGATCAAGCAGAGACAAAATTAGCTACTGGTAGCTAAGTGGGAGAATAACAGGAAATATCAGACTTTATGTCAGACCAATAAGTTGAAAACACATTCTGGAATAAAACAAGGGCAATCATATCTACTTATGTTTAACCAAGAGTTAAGTTGAACTTGAGGGAAATTTAATATTTTCTTTCATTTGAATCATTGATAGGTTAATAACAGTACTGCATATTCTATAATTTCCCTAGCCATTCTATTTCTGTGAGAATATTTTAGGAGGATATTTTCCTGGCAGAGTGAGAAATTCTTACTTATTTTAGTTAAAGGAAGCTGAAACGTAGCATATTCTTACTATCTTCGTGATGATGTTATCCATTCAGTCATGTCTGACTCTTGGTGATTCTATGGGACAAGTTACTCCCCATCTTCCAAACTTGCCCTATTTTAGGTTTTTTTTAATGCTTTGGCTAGTGTCAGCTTTGATAGTATCCAGCCACCATGTTATTTGATGGCCTGGTTTCCTTTTACCACTAACTCTTCCAAACATAATTAATTCAGCAGTTTGCAGCCTGCCTGGTTTCATATAAATCTTAGTAAAGAACATTATGAAAGAATACCTCTTATGGGATTTCTTCATATCATGGAGTTTGGGGTCGTCAGCTCTGACTAGTAGTTAATTCTGGAGGAAGAGAGAGAAACATAAAGGCATATCATGATATAGATTGAATATTTGAATATTTTGTATAGCTTGATTTCGGCTCAGATTAGAAAGATTGAAATTCTGATGGGGAAACTGAACTGTCTTTTCTTGTCCATAGCTCTAGAGCTATGATAAAGATAATAATCAATGTATCTCAAGAGACTTTAGGGCTAGACGCTAATAAACCAATGTTGAGTATAATCATACCTTCATGCAGCTGTGGCAGTGCCACATTTTAAAAAAATAAGTGTACTTCCAAACAATTTCTTCCAAAATTTGAAGAAATTTTCCATATGGATCCAATGCCTCAGTTTCATAACATCCATGGTAGTCATGTTTGGTAATTCCTTCTGGAAGTCAAAAATATTCTATGCCAAATGCAGAATATTGATGTATTTTGTCTGAGAAACAGGTCAGTGTAACCAAATGCTTCAATTTGACAGCTCTTCTATAAAAGAATTCTGGTGAAGAATTCTGAAGAAAGCTTCAGACCAAATCACCATTGTTATTGTTAGCTGTGAAGTCATGTCCAACCCATCGCGACCCCATGGACAATGTTCCTCCAGGCCTTCCTGTCCTCTACCATCCTCTGGTGTCCATTTAATCTCACGCCTACTGCTTCCGTGACTCCATCCAGCCACCTCATTCTCTGTCGTCCCCTTCTTCTTTTGCTCTCCATCTTTCCCAGCAAGTCCTTCCTTCTCATTAGGTGGCCAAAGTATTTGAGTTTCATCTTCAGGATCTGGCCTTCTAAAGAGCAGTCAGGGTTGATCTCCTCTAGGACTGACCGGTTTGATCGCCTTGCAGTCCAAGGGACTCACAGGAGTCTTCTCCAGCACCATAGTTCAAAGTAAATCACCATAATATCAGCTATATTGGAGCTGGGTTATATCTGGCTCAGTTGCAGCTACCGAAGCTTAAAATCATGATGCTGTTCTGTTTTGTGATGGTTAAGACTCTAGTTACACCCTTTTTCCTCTTTTCCCAACTTCAAATCTTGTCAGGGACAAAAGAGATAGGGATGAAATTAAGGGAATCGAATGACTGGAATACAATGCTCAGCTACTAGATTTTTTTTTCTTTCCCTGTTGCACATAGTGGATTCAAGGAATTTTCAAATCTGCAGTAGCTTGAAACAAGATGGTAATTTTCTTTCAAAAGAAATTACATTTTCTTAGAATTACAGGTTAGCAATGTTAAGCAAGGTTGATTACATTTCAATTACTTCTGAAGTTTGGGGTAATGAAAATAGTAATGATGCAAAAATGCCCTATAATTGCCCAAACAAAGGGTATCCATAGTTTCCTAGTGCAGTGTGTGGGAATTATCTGGACAGGAATATCCAGTAGTGATCTTGATCAGGCAGTTTAGGCCTGATCAAATAAGTGAAAGCTCACTGATCAAGGCAGTTTAGGCCTAATCAAGTAAGTGAAAGCTCACTTGAAAGTCAATCTAAATCCTATCATTGGGGGAGAAATGGCTGGTTCTGGAGTGACCAGGACCAGGCTGTTATTATCTCCAGGATCAACAATGAGTGGCCATCCCAGAATCTACGTATATAAAACTGGTAATCATACCTTGTAAGCAATGATTATAACACAGAACATGATTTTTGATGACCTAACATGATCAGCTTCTACAATCCTTCCCAAGTGTGCATGAATCATTTGGACTCATTAATTGGATCCAGAGTAATACACCAGACTTGAGCAATTCTTTTTCAGATTGAAGGATAAGAATGCATCAGCAGATGTTACTTCTCCTTATCTGTCACTTTAGTCTTGGAATGTCTGGAATTGGGTTGTGAATCTTCTTTTCAAGCACAGCACATTCCAAATACTTTTTCCTCTTGATTAAATGTACAGCAGAGAGTGGAAAAGTTATTTATTTGTGTTATAGTCTATTCAACTGACAATGTTTGCCCATTGAATGCTATGTTGTTTAGAAGATTTCCTTTCCTTGTTACATCTAATTTATATATTTTAGGTGGTTGAGAGAAGATACCTGCTTAAGACTCCTGAGATGCATCCATACAGACTGGGTAATGCATTTTTGCAAGAAACTCCCTTTTCAGACTATGTTGTTCCTTCTGGTATTTCTCAGGACTGGGCCAATCGAATGTTGGAGTTTTCTCTTCCACCTTGCTGATAGCAACTCTTATTTTGTCACTTTCTTTAATTATGTCAGTATTATTTCTTTGCTTCAGTGAGTGGCAGCACCTTGTCAAGTCTTGGAAGTAAATAGCTCAGGCCTGGTTAGTACTTGGATGGAAATTAATAGGGATTTTCAGAATTAGAACAGGGAGTTTGAACACAACTATAAAGTCTTCAATAGAGCTCAGTTTCAACTGAAGAATTTTAGTTGCTGCACAGTATTGATGATCAATGGAACATTTATTGATAAGCTACAAGTATCTTTAGCATGCCTACAGCAGGTGGCAGCCTCTTAGGGTGCTAAGCAAGGTCACATCCTGTTAATGCTTAAAGATTACTAGTAAATATTAGCACCATAGGCAAAATTGGGAAATAAAAAAATCTAGGAGGCTGAGATAAGCCCCTTCTATACTGCTGCTAAGAAAACTGTCCAGAAATCATGGAAATGTCCTGATTGTGACCTCCTAAGATATAAATGTAATAAAAATAATTACCATTCTATACTTTCCTCATTTCAGAACAACCTTCCAACCTTACTATTAGAAAAAATTCCGATATATATGAATATTGTCATCAGGGACACATAAGCAGGAAGTCAGGATCTGATAGGACAAGACTACAGTGTTTTCTCTTTTTATTCAACCTTGTAAGACAAAAGTAAGCAGTTGGAATACCAGCCAAACTTTATCAAAGTAAACAAGCAGGTTTACTTTTTACCTTCAACATTACTAGTTATTTTGCTTCTTTTGCTTCAAAATTGCTAGTGAACAATTTCCCACCTCCCAACTGATAGGCTAGCACAGTCTAAAGTAAAAATATCACATTTTTTCTGGACTTGTTTCAAATGTCTCAAAAACTTTCTAAGCAATTTTTAACACAGTATGACGTATATTTACATATGATTTAATTTGAATGCATTACTAACATATATGAGCACAGCCTGTTATTTGTATCCTGAGTCTCTAGGGTACTCATTTTTTTGGTTTTGCTCATATTTACCACTCTAGATCTAAGAAAAGAGCTTATATAGGTCATTGGCAGTGTACCATCCACTCTCAGGTTGAAGAGATAATAGGTGACAGGCTGTTTAATTCTTTGGCAGGTAAACCTTTGATCTTCTTATCCCAGCTATAGAGTCATTTAGTTGGGTGTCCTCTTCAGCACTTTTATCCAGGGCATGCCCTCAATTGCTTCAGTGAATCTTGTCCCTGTATATAATATAAAAGCAGAACTCTATTAATTGGTGGAAATTGCTTGGTCCATTTAAGGTTTATAAGCCAGCCTTTATTTTGAATATAAACCAACAATTCAATATTTGATCTTCAATAGCTATTAGCACTGCCTATTTAATTTTTGCCAGGATAGCTCTTCAGCTGTCAGCCAGCATCTGCATTACTCAGCTTCTTCTCCCCCACAATCCTCTCTGATCTTAATGTGGTCTCCTGGATGTTTCTAAGCCTTCCTATTTAAAGAACTTATCAGCAGGCAAAGCACAATGCTGGAAGAAGAGAGTTTGAGTACTCCCCCTCCAGAATTCACAAGCTGAAGGAGTCCATGATTAATCACTACCATGGCTAACTTTTGGCTTGTCAAAGTTACTACTTTTGAGTTGTGCTGCTTCTCTGAATTTTATATCAATTGGATATAATGGCTGAGTTTATAGATCCATAAACTATAGATTTTCAAATCATAATTTTTAAGCCAGGGTCAAAGAACTTTTTATGATCATGAACTGCATTCATCTTTCTGAATGGTGTAAAGGGATAATGCGTCAAAACAAACAAATCATATGACATAGTAAAGCTGGTCAATGAACATTATCAAGTAGAGTTTTCCATGATATTAAACTAAATGACAAGGAAAGTTTTCTTTCTTAAATGTCAGGATGCTTTTAAAAATCCAGGTGAAAATTCTTATAAGAAGACTAAAACTTCAAAGAACTGTATCTAGTCCAGGGGTCTCCAACCTTGGCAACTTTAAGACTTGTGGCCTTCAACTCCCAGAGTTCCTCAACTAGCTTAATCCAGGCAAGTCTCAGTGGATGTGGGTTTGTGGGGGTGGACTTACCCAGAAAGTGGAAGTTTCCATTTTTGGTTTAGGGAAATGCCTCCTCAGACTTGGCATGCAATTTGGAGTTCCTTTTGGGTCCTCATGGTTCCTGTTGAAAAGCAGTTGGCAGCTGCAGCCATGAAGTCCTTTGCAAAACTCCATCTGGTCACAGTAGTTCCTGTTCCTGGGAACCACTGCTCTTTGTTAATCATCACACCTCTCAGTGGACTACTGCAATGTGCTCTACTTGGGGCTGCCTTTGAAAACCATCCAGAAACCGCAGCTGGTCCAGAAAGAAATAGCTTTGTAATTCTTTAATATTAAAATGAGAAGAGATCTGGGCATAACTGCAAAGTACAATCTACTCCAACTTCGTCCCCACAAGCTTTGCTTGGTTGCATATATAGTACTATTCAGCTATTTCCACAGGGCAGTTGTAGAATGAAAAAATGAAAAAGAAACCAAAGGTTAATCCTGATAAGATTATCAATCCTGTGAGTTGGGAAATTGCTGATGTGGCTAGAAGTAAACAACCAATCTTTGAATTACTGCTGATACAATATTTATAGAGGGCTGCCTCATGATTAAAAATAAAATGAATAATGTATTGCCATCAGGATCCATCAACTACTCTTTCTCACTTGCTGTGCACTATCTTAACATTAATTTAAACCGTTAATAATTTATTTGCAGTGCCATTTCATTGCAGCTGGTTACTTTGAGGAAGTGTGACCACTTTTGTCGTTATTCTGGTGTGATGTAGTTTGTAGGCTCAAAGGTCATTCTCCTATAATGCCTCCTTAAAATACTGGGCCTTCAAACACATTGCAGTGATCTTGTTCTCATTCCTATCCCACCGATTTGCATTTAGGATTGAAAAGAAAAGACTGCTCTGTAAGACCCCGCCTCTTCTTTCTCCACACCTTAAATATTACAAGCCTCTGTCACAAAATAATTTCTCAAGAATTTGTTCATTGTTCGGCATGTCCGCTCGTTTTTCCTTTCGTCATTGCTAGAGGTTTCCATTTTTGCCGCAAGATGGGGCTGTGCTTCGGGCAACCTTAACGGCAAACCCGGGTTCGCTTCCACCACTACGCGGAGACTCCTGAACTCCCAACCTGACCGCCGCGATTTAATTTCGCGAAGCAGCCCCGGCTGTCCACGCCGAAGACCGGCTTCCTCTTTGCTCCAGGAACAGCTGTTGTTGTTGTTGTTTTCCGCCTAGCGGTCAGCGCGGGCTATTCCGGACCCGGCCAGGGAGGAGAGAGGAGGGCCCATCAGCGCTGGCAACCCAGCAGCCAGGCTGGGATCACATCTTCCCAGCCAAAACCACCCAGCTGTGCTGAGCCGAGCCGTGGACCCTTGGACCAGGAAGTGCTTGTGCAACCCACCCGCTCAGCCTCGCCTGGCGCCGGAGGGGCTGCCCTCCGCCCGATTTCCTTGCTAGCTGCGAAAGCAGCTGGGCCTTCAACTTACTGGACCTCTCAGCCAGCAGTAGGATGGCTTCAGGTAGGGAAGACGCTTCGCTGTTTTGAAACAAAGTAAGTTCCGGACTAGCTCCTTTCTTTTCTCCTCCGCCCCCGTCACTTATTTTCCTTTGCCCAATCGCCTTCCTTGCAGCTACTACTTCGATCTGGTTTCTTCACGTTTCATCTCTCCTAATTGCCGCTCGGGCTATTACAGGCGCCCACGATTAAAACTCTTCGGGAGGCACCAGCCTGCTTCTCTTTGAGCCACGCTGCGCGCATCCCCGGCTGGAAAGTTCTCAGCTCGTCCCCTTGGCTATCCCATCAGCGGGGAGGAGTCTACCGGCCTCGGGAGTTTCCGAGGCGCAAACAACGCCGGCGGAGGTGCTCTTTTAGAAACAACCCGGTGAAAGTTTAGGAAGTCGTTCGGCAAGACCTAAAGTGTAGAAATTGGACCCAGCGGCTAACAAAGGACTTTATTTCTGGGTCGTTTTGCTTCCCATCCTCGTTAGCGTAGCTCACTGTGAGCTAACACTGATGATGTTACCTAGTTTGGTAATGAAACGTCTGTAAGAAAACAAGCAAAGCTCAGAGACACCAAGGAGCCTTCATGTCAACCCCTGAAGTACAAATATTCTCCTTTATTGGTAGCTCAAGTTTCTTTAAAACTAAGGCCGGGAGACCCGGCGTTAAATCATTTTATTTAAGAGTCAGGAGCAGGCGACGACCATTATTTTAAACGTCGCTTGTGATCCCGGTTTTGAGGGAAAACAAATATTGACTTGGAAGTCCATGCAAGCGATAACAGCAGCAGCCTCTCCGGGCGCCATTTCCCAGATACAAGTGGCTTCCCTTCCCCCCCTGCCCCGGCTTCTCGGTCCCGCCGGGAGATAACTTTCTTCCCTAAGAAGGCACGTTATTCCCCCGGGGTGCAGCGGCCCCACTGCCCGCTCTGCCAAGGAGTCCTCGGGAGGAGGCTCAGCTTGGATTCGCACCCCCGCTTGCAAAGTCTCCGCCTCCCTTGCCGTAGGCGGAGCGTTTGCGCGCCGGGGAATCTCCAACCAAGACGCCGGGAAACCGGGGCCGAGCGGGAAGAACCGGCCTTTTCGAATTCCGCTCCAATGTCCGATGTTGGCCTAGGGTGCCCGCGGGCGCTTTCCCGCCAGGGCGACGGGGCCTCGGTCGGAGAAGCCCTTCCCGCCTTGTTCCCGGCCCCCAAGCGCTGGCCCTGACTCCCAGGCTGCTAGCGCGTCACCAAGTAGGCCGCTTCCGGTTGAAAGGAAGGCTTCGAAAAGCTGATGGAGGCGCAAAGCGCAACTTTGGCATTTAAAAACCATTTCTTTTTTTTTTTTTTACATCCTAAATTATCACGGCATCGGCAAGTGCGGGGGGGGGGATCCATGCACGCCTTTTTTCAACGTCATGGAAGCAACCGAAGTGTAATTTGAACCGTTTTTCCCGCTTTCTTTAAATCAGGGGACGCCTTCTTAAACCGGTTTGCCTAGCCCTAACTTTGGTCGAATTATGTATGGGTCGATTCGTGGCTTTAGTGTTTTAAGCGCGATTTATGAGCAAGAAATTGCTCCGAATTGGTTGGGGAAGGCGGGGGGGGGGAGGATGTCACCCAACAGGGCAACTAAACTAGCCTACTAGTGAACGGAGGTTGTAGGAACCCCAGCCACTTGGTTAATGGCTCTGTCTGCGCTGTGGATGAGGTTAAACAAGCCAGGCTCTTTAACACGTTGAGCCATCATTCCGTGGAGGATAATAAAGGCTGCCACTCGGATGCTCCAAAGGGCGCAAGGACACCCCTCCCGTTTTGGCCCTGGATTGATGACATTCAGAATTCCTGGGTTTGGGAGAGGCTCCTTTGGCGCCCTCTCGGCCGGCAAATTTACAGCATCTTGTCTAAGCAAAAGTGGGAGGGAGAATATTAGTGAAAGCAATTAGGGGACTGGCTGTTATGATGTTATAAGCATTTGTCGTCCGTCCCCCCACCCACCCCTTAAGGAGAATGCAGTCTCATGCTCTTGTTCGGCTGCAGGGAGCAGTGGAAGGTGGGAGGGTCTTACAAAGCCTACCACCGAAAGCTCCGCCGAGCCACGCCATCAATGCATGAAAAAGCTCTATTGCCCTGTTAAGGGTATAAGGAACGTCAAGCGGCGAATTGGGAAGGGGGGGGGTGTAGAGAGCGAGCGAGCGACCCCTCGATCGTCAAGAGGAGAAGCCTCGATCCATCCCGGCTCTGCGTAGGTTCCTTCGGTCTTTCCCACGCACCTCCATCAATCAATAGAAGGGGGCGAACCCGACACTTGTCTCCGCCTTCTTTTGGAGCACGGCGGCTGCAGCAACACCGGTTGCAAGACTTCTGCGGAGCATCGGGAGCGAGCAAAATGTCCTCTGGTGTCGGTCCCCCCAAGAGCGGCTCCCCACTGAGGAAGCGGGCCAGCCTTCAGGCTCCCAGCCCAGGAGGTGAGCATCTGTGGATTGCTTCTCCAGCTTCACGCTGGCTTCTATTATGTGCTGGAGAAAGTGAAGATAACTCATTCGTGGGGAAATTAATTGTGATGGCTTCTTTCCTGTATTCATGTTGTCTTTAAGAAATAGAAAGGGGGGGGAGAGAAATAGAGAAATTGGCAATCAGGATTCTTTTTATTCATATCCCATATTTTTTTTTAATGGTGTGTTTATTCATACAGGAAAGATGGTTGCTTCCTTGTTGGATGCTTAACAGCACTTCTCAGTTTTTAAAATTCAGGAATAAGTTTTCCTGGGTTCATTCTGGCACCCCTGGTAACTTTGTGTGGGATGGCAGCCCTGGGAAGAACGAAAAGGAAAAGATTGCTTGTTTGCAGCTGGAGGTGTAGATAATGTGGTGTGTTCTGTCCTCCCTTTAATACACATGCGCCATTCTCTTTGTGCATACTGGCAGCTTTGATGAACCTGGAGAGCTCCAGATCTGTTGGGATTTCCTACGTATTCTTAAGCTACCTGGAATTTCTGGGAATTTGCTGTAATGGGTGTAGTGGAGAGATGCAAAAAGGGCCATTAAATTTGGGAGAGAGACCTGGCAATTTTGTGCAGTCCTCATCATAATGGCAGCTGTAGAAACCATTACTATGAACATTCCATAAAACACATTACGATAAAGCTTCTGTGTTGTAGTTTCTTTTATGCGTACTTGGGGCCAATTGCACAAAAATTATAGGAGGTGACAAAAACATTTGATGCCATAATTGCTTCATACACTCTTGTCACAGTTGACTTGCTCCCTGGGGAAGCTTTTCATTAGATGTGCTGGTTGAAGGAAGGATACTCACAATTGTTTATTTAAATTTAATAACATGAGCAAAAATCTGTTCAATAGCCTTTTCTAGTTCTTTTTTAAGATCCAGAGCTTTTGTTAAGTTAGATCTGTCCAGAGTAAATGGTGAGAACATGTTTTACATTACAGGTTAAGCTCACTAAGATAATATGAAATTGCAGGAGATATATATATGGTGGCTCAATGGCTAAGATGCTGAGCTTGTCGATCAAAAGGTCGGCAGTTCAGCGGTTCGAATCCCTAGTGCCGCGTAATGGGGTGAGCTCCCATTACTTGCTTCTGCCAACCTAGCAGTTTGAAAACACATAAAAAATGCAAGTAGAAAAATAGGGGTCACCTTTGGTGGGAAGGTAACAGTCTTCCCTGCCCCTTTGGCGTTTAGTCATGCCGGCCACATGACCACGGAGATGTCTTCGGACAATGCTGATTCTTCGGCTTTGAAATGGAGATGAGCACTGTCCCCTAGAGTTGGGAACGACTATCATATATAAGCCCATGTTTTCTTCCCAGGTTGTGTAGCTAAGAGGGCACAGTTCACAATTTGTTTTAAGCTTACTGGAGGATCTGCAGGGTGCTTCTTACTGCAGTGTTTCTTAAATTCTAGGCAATCATGGATCACTAAATGTTCAGAAAGGGCAGGAACCACCCAATTAGATTTTAAAAAAAATCTTACGTTTTTGTCTTTAATGACATGAAAGTTTATATTAAACCCAAACAGCTAGGAGTCAAGGGTTCTTTCACTCAATGAAAATGTTTTTTTTCCTCATTACGGTATTGTATTTTCTGTTAGCTTTTTCTTCTTCGGTTGTTCATGTGAGAACATAGTTCCACTTGTCACATTACATATAGATTCATAGTAACTGTACTTGAGACTTGTTTACTTTTGCCAGTGTTCTGAATTTTATTCTCACTTTGCTGCCAGCATTGTTGCTTCAATGAAACAGGTTTTGACTATTGATCCATTTTCATGAAGCAGCTGACTGCCACTGAATGCAGAAGATGGGAAGGAGTAAATGTGCTTCTTTTGTGACCAGTTGACTAATCACTGTGGCAAGACTGGTAGACTACATGGTGGGCCTTCATGTGCCATTGATCATCCATAAATCACTGTTTCAGAATTGCTGTTCTATTAGTACTAACCATAAAACAGCTCCATAAGAAAACTGCCTGGAAATACCACTGAGTAGAGGCAACATAGTAAACATTTTTTTAAAAAGCGAACAGCTATTTCCTAGCAGGGAGAAGGAGAAAATATTCCACAACTATTAAGTAAACACTGGCTTAGCCAGTAAAGGGGAAGTGAGTGAGAAAGAAACTCAGAATTGCCATGCCTGAATTCTTTTTGCTATATGAGTGTGGGGGGCAGGGCAGAGAGGGAGAATATCAACAGGCTTTCGAGATTCTGTTATACCTTTTAACACTAAAGTAAAATTCTAATAATTCTTGTATTTATTCCTTGATCTGGTCTATCTTGAAGGACTTTAGCTTTTAGAAAGAGAAGTTAGCAGGGTGTAAGTAGACACATCCCCCAATATGATTGTGGCAAAAGATACACCTGAGTATGCCACCTATGTCCCTTGAGTAGGTGAATAAATAATACCCTTGCTGAAAAATCAAACTTGCTTTCTTTCTGTATTGAGTTTTTGCATTGCGGCTTAATTCAAGATACGGTAGGAGAAACAGTACCTGCAGTGCTTTGGACAAGAGGAATGGAAGTGATATTTTCAAATATGCAAGTCTTGGAAATTGGGATATTTTGTCTTTCCTTTAAAAAAAGAAAAGCACATTTAAAAAAAGCCATATGACATACACAATCTTCATGTGCAAGTACTTCTGCAGTATGGGGATCTCTGGTTAACACAAGATGTTGTATTTGCTCCTACTAACTGCTGTTCCATCTGGCTTCTTTTTATGTTGCCTTAAAAAGATCCTGTTTTTTTTTCTTTGGAGTAATGAGTCTTCACCATTACAGTTGATGATTAAAGTTTCTCTAATACTTTGGATGGCTTATATATTTGGAGATGTGTCTGTTCTGAAAAGAATCAGGTAGCAATTGATCAATTCAGTGTAAGAGATGTCAGAAAGTATGTGCAGTGTGCTGATGAATATGAGACTCTTTTTTTTAATCTGTTCCTTTTTCTGTTTTCTCAATATTTCATGATTTTAAAATGTCTGCTTTCAGGTTTGAGCTAGATGCCATAAATAAATAAAAACTAGACAGTGGGTTTATTGTAACTTCTTGTGACATTTCTTTTCATCCTGGCTGGAGAAGCTTGCCCTGAATGAGGTTTCAGTCTCAATGCCATATCCTGAAATTAATCCACAGTGTTCCTGAAATCCTGTTTTCTCCAGCAGTGTGACTCTCGGTTTTTCATCAGTCAGCATTTGAAGATTCTACTTACAGTCTAATTTGGGGAGGCTACTTCTCTGTCTGACTCTCATTGTGGGGTTCAGGTGGTCTATGTAGAATTAAAAACCATGAGAAATATACATAAGGGGTCAAAATGGCTCAAAGGGATTGTCATTCCTGTGATGAACAGGCAGCAGTCCCTTCTAGTATTACAGAATGTCAAGACTTCAAAATCCTCTGCATGTAATAAGCAACACTAAACACTAAACAGAGACCTTAATGTTCTCTTTTTATTATTGAGTTCATTACAATATCCTGGAACAAAAACAAAATAGCAATAGTTCTTAGACTTATATACTGCTTCATAGTGCTTTACACCCCACTCTAAGCAGTTTACAGAGTCAGCATATTGGCCCCAACAATCTGGGTCCTCATTTTACTGGGATAGAAGGCTGAGTCAACCTTGAGCCGGTCAGGATTGAACTCTTCAGGTTGTCATGATAGACTGTGGGCAGAGTCAACCTGCAATACTGCATTCTAACAATCTCACCAACAAATTAGAAGTGTGTGTGTGTATCTTTCAGTACAGTGATACCTCATTAATTGGTTCTGGGAGGCATGATGAGTACCAAAAACAATGAGTACCAGTCAGTTTTTTCCCATAAGGAATAATGTAGTGAATCACAAGGCAGCCGACACCAACAAGTTCTAGCATGCACGTTGAATAACAAACGAGTACGGGACAAAATTTTCATGTCAAAATCCGTTGAGTACCAAATTTGATGAGTGTTAAAAACAGTTGAGTACCAAGGTGCCACTATTTGAAAGAATAGTCATAACACTGTATATAAAACATTTTATTTTTGAAATAAAACTTTTATGAAGTTACAAAAAAAAAAAAATAGATCCATGCAAAATCATAAGAGGTTAAAACTATTTTATGGAACAACAAAATTCATTGAAAAAACTATTGCAGATTGTGAAGGAAGACTCTGAGAAAGCTCTGCTTAGCCAGGTCTTCGGCATGTATTACACTACAAATCTCACTGTCTTCAGTAAGCATATCCAAAGAAGGAGCTCTGTGATGAAAGATTGAGCCAAAAATATCTAGAAATCATGTAGTTGCGGAAGGTTACTCCAAGAGATTCCTAGAACCATGCTGGTCTATCTCAAACACAGAACTGAGCAGGGAATCAGAAACCACCCTTTTTCATTTGTAATTCTCAGAGTCCATCTTTTTTGCTACCCCACATATAAAATCCATTAATGGAAAAATCGAGTAATTCACAGTTCTAGTCAGTATAACTAAATTACCCATTGATAATTGTTGGGAACTGAATAAGACCAAAAATTTACACAGTTGCACTGAAGTTTCATGTGAATCATTGATTCAGGTTTCTTCTCTTGGTTAAGTGTCTCAGCTTTGTCCCTTTTCTATGTGAAGTCAGATGGATTTATTTTTAAACCAGTGGAAAATCCATACTCTTCATGTTTACACTAAAGTCCTCAGTGTATAATGAAATTTCCTACCAGAAAGATAATATTATTGCAATCCAAAGGAGGAGAGGTTCCATTTTAACCTAGCATAAAAAGACTATTAAAAAGAACTTCAAGAGCAACAGTAAGTCTTTAAAAAGCACTAGACAGCCTTTGACGTGTTGGATCATCATTTCACAGATATTTCCTTACCTAGATAGGCAAACAGAATGGCCATGGGTAGACAAAAAAGCAGTGGGAATGAAAGTGACTTATGACTTCCTGCTGGCTTCCCCATTGATTTTCCATGTGGAAACCTTG